CGTGTTTTACCTGATGACACGACTTACGCTCTTCAGTTACTCTTCTGTAAATGTTTTTGCCAGCCTCCCCTCCCGCCCCCCGAAACTCCGATTCAGCAAAAAGAGGCTTCGCTGACATTGTTTTGCGCTGTAACAACGCGGCTGCGGCAGGGCAGAGCGGGGCAGGGGCGCATGTGGGCGCTGTTTTGGTGGCGAAATGCTGATCCTCTCGTAGGAGCTGCTGGGGATCTCTCGGCACGGCCTGTGCTGCAGGGAGGAGGCTGATGGGTTGCATCTGTGGGCAGGGCGCTGGTGTGGCCGGGGGGGTGGCAGGAGGGGGTCTGACAACTACCGCTAATTTCCTTGGGGAAGATGAGAGTAAGTAGAACAGCCGGTGCTGGTTGCCCAGTCCCGCTGCTCATCAGAGTTCTACTACCTGGGAGTAACAATGCAGAAGATACATCATGGATGCTGCTTAAAAGAACTGAGTTTGGGGCTGTTTCTTTTATTTGCTTAGAATTTCTCACGGGGTAAGAGAACCACAAAACTGATGATGTTGATAAGTTGTTTCGGGGGACGACTTGAAAAACTTGTTTGCCTGGATATGAATGGTCTTCTACTTATTGCAAACCTAGTAGTTGATAGGGTGAAAACCAGGCTATTAGAAACAGAAAGCAGTGGGATCTCTGAAGTCTAGAAGACTTTTGTGTATAAGTACATAGATCAGGTAGATGAAAGTCTACTGCTATTCTTGAGAACAGTATTGATATTGTCTTTCATTACATGGTGAACATGAAGCTGTAGAATTCATTGGCATAATTTAATAGTATTTCTGGAGATAGAGAAGCACTGCTACCTCTAGATGAAGAGATAGAGAAGCATTGCTACCTCTAGATGATTCTCCTCTCCTGTGAGACTACAGCCAAGATGCTGCTGGTGTTTCTGACATCTGGGTGGGGAAGCAGAAGCAGATTCAGCTTAAGAGTAGATACTTGCAAAAGCGAGGAAGAGTTTTCAATTCTCTTACAGCTTCTTTCAAGGAAAATTCAGAAGGAAAAAGACTATGAAAAGCCTAATGAAAAATTGAGCTGGCAAAAAGAAAAAAAAGAAAATAGATAATGGAAATGCACCCTGGCACATGTTCCTGAGAACCTGGAGGGAAAATTCCCTTCCCCTTTCCCACCCTTGTTTTCTGGAACGCTTGCCATCTCCAACTTTGGATCTTCTCAAAGGGAATAACAATTCATTGGTGCATAAATGTTTAGCTTACAAACATGATCCTGTTGCTGAGAGGAGAGGTCACTTTGTCTTACAGAGTAGCTGCAGGAATGTTGTGGAGAATATTGTGCTGCTGTCCCTGTTGGGGCTATGTGGGATGCTGTCTCTGAAATTTGTAGATATGTCATGATAAAGTAAGTTACATAAAAACACCTTGATACAAGCTTCCTTATTTTCAGGAGCTTGTTCGTGGGTGAGCTTCTTGAGCAACGTTAACTGCTCTTAGAAACTCTTCTTTCAGGGATTCATGTTTTTTCTGTGTAGTAATTAATACCACCCTCACAGGGAAGGAATTCTTCCTAATGTCTGATATAATCTAATGAATTGATATAAAGTATTTAAAGTATTACTTTTTTTTTTCCTCTCTCTCCGCAGGAGGTAACAGCAAGTAGCCGCCACTATGTCGATAGATTATTCGATCTTGATCCTCAGAAAGTCCTGCAAGGTGTCATGTAAGTTATCTGAAACACACTTGGGCTGTTGGCTGTACATGGGCTAGGTTTACTTGAATTTCTCTAGAATTTTATGTCAAGGGCTAGAAGTTCTTCCCATCTTTTTTTGAGAAGTCTTGTTGGAAAAGTTTTGATGTGAACGTGACAGCATTGTTTCAGCAGACTATCGCTCTGAAGTGCATATGGTTCATAACACAGCCTCCCAGTTGCCAGAAATGAGGTTAAACATTCTGTGGACAGTGAGAATTTTGTTTGGGTACATTTCTTCCTTTTGGTCACATTTTGCTGTCTACCAGGTCTGTTGAAACTCTTATTCCACTGCCAAGCCAGTGTACCTGCCTCTTACTCTTTCCACTGCTGTTGTGCCTGAGTGTTTGCTTTTCTTCCCTTTTTGTTAATGCATGGCCTCTATCTTAATGATGGGAGCTGCAAGCTGAAAGAAAATGCTTCCATAGAAATTAATTTGGATGCAAATTATATTTCAATACTCTGCTGTGTGCCAGTGATAAGGGTAATCATTAAAAGAATTGATGACTTGCCCTGTTGAATAGGTAGTAGAACTGGTGCAAAGATCTAGTTGTTTTCTTGCTATCCTTGGGCTATAAGCTTTTCATTGTAACCACACACAATGTGGCAAACAAGTCCTTGCCCAGGACAGACTTTTCATGGTAAAACCAGAACTTTCCAGGCTTAGCAGTAACTTGCTGGCTGTGGCTGTATAGCCAGAAGTCATTGAAGGACCAAGTGGATCAAAAAGCCAAGAGTGTCAGTTGTGTTGCTTAGGACAGTCAGGTGTTTTCCAGTAGCAGGTGAAAAAAATTATTCCAGGTGGTGTCCCAGGGACAACGTATCAGAATTGGTGTCCCTTTGAAATACATGAAAAACACAAAATACATGAAACTCTCCTGGAAACTTTATTGGTTGAAATACCCCCTTACCTGTATAAAAACTTGTGGTACTCCACTGTAACTGTGTTCTTAACTCTTTGCTGTAGGAGAGTCTGGTTTTGCTTCCACCCCTTGACTTTCTTAGTCCACTCTTCTTAAAGGCTGGTGTGATGGTCCCAGGGGCAAGGATGTGCCTCATCCTATGTCCAGATGGGTTGACTGAGCCCCTCTTTTCTCCTTGGCAGATGTTCAAGCCCTGGGTGGTGCTTCCTCCCTGCTCTCCTTTCTTTTTTAGGACTGGAACCCACTGATTTCCCAGAAACAAAAGTTTTGGGCAGTATCTTTGTCTCAGCTAACATCTGAAATTCTTTATCTTGTCCATGGATGTCAGTGGATTCTACGCTGAGATGCTTTTCTTGCATTTCAAGACAAGAAAATGCCAATTTATTTCACAATAGCTTTCAAAGGGCAAATTTGGACGGTAAACTATATTTGTGATGCTCTGGTTAAAATCCTAGTTCTGAGAGTGTATCTTTCCTGACACTTAGCAGTCCCCTGTGATAGATTAGTTTCTTTTGCGATATTGGTGGATGGGTGTGAAACAGTCCAATTTAGAAAAGTGTGTATCTAAAAATAGAATTTAGAATAGTGTATGCATTAAAAGTTGCTGTCAGGCCAAGATTTTCTTTGGGCAGAAAGATACTGCTTTCCCTTCTTCTGGCTTCAGCATATCTGAAGAGGTAAAGAAGTTGGAATGAACTGATACTTAGGAGGTGGAATAGAAGACGATTCAAGTTCTACCAGAAGTGTCTGTCAGAAGCCTTACTAGATATTCTGCATAATTTGCTGAAAATCTTTGGTTCCTGAGATGTGCTGTGGGTTACCCCCCTTCATCCTGGCTGAAGATACTGATGACCTAGATTTTGAATTTGATTGATGGAAAGTATGAATATCAAGGATCAGAAAATAGGCTGTCTTAAGAGGCTTCAGTTTTGCAGGTTGTTTTCAGTTAACAATAGTCATGTTCTTTATATGGTGTTAAAGACTTGAATGAACTTTGATTTGGGGCTTTTTTTAATTGCATCCTTGTAATTTCAATGAAAACCAACTTCTGAATGATGTTTGATAAAGGTAGAATATAGCTAAATGCTTCTTGAAAATCATGCCAATCCAGTTGTCATCTTATAACTTGAGAAAGCTTTTAATTACATATTCTGAAGTTATTTAAATGATCAAGTATCTTCTTTTCCTTTCTTTCCCATGAATTGTTCAGAATCATCTTCTGTCCAGACAGTGAAGTCTTACTGGCTAGGAGCTTGTTCCTTTTCTACCTGAGGGGAAAACTGAGAAGCCATTTCCCTTTTGTCCAGTGCTGCTGTATGTGGTTCAATTGATTTTACTTCAAAATGTCAAGTTTCCTGCAGAACTTCTGTTCATGTTGTTTCTATTATGTTCATCTGGGTATTGATACTAGATAGGAAGGGCAGAATTGTGTGTACCTGTCAGTAAATCATCAATTTCAGTTCAGGATTGGAAATGTTGAGATTCTTACAAGGAAGACTACTACCTCTTATCACTACTCTATGTGACAGCGAACTATTTAAAGTGTGCCAGACCCACATCTTCATACCCGCATTTGTCTGGCAGTGTATGTATTTACCTTTCTATTTACTGTTTTTATAAATGAGTGAGCTTAATATAGTAGTTTCATCCTGTAAATCTACATTGTGGCCATGCTTATGCTTGGGAGGCCCTTCCAGTTTTGCTTTGTGACTCCCTGGGTGGTCTTCTAAACTTTTCACCTTCTACAGACTGTTCCACAGTTCAGATTTTCTCAAGTATCCTTTGACTGCATTCTGCAAGGTCAGCATTCATGTCAGGTATGCAGCTATTGAGTATGTTAGTGTTGACAGTGCATAGATTACCTCAACCAGATATTGCAGGGGATTAAATACTGCGTTCCCTTAAAATATCTTGCTGTTATTGTCAGGGGAGCAGAACATAGATAGCTCTGTAAATTTCTGCATTGTTGGAAGAGCTTAATTTGTCCCAAGATTGTTGCTGCAACATTATTCTGTGCTTTGTGTGCAGCAGTATTTTATTTGAACAGTTCTGGGTGGTGATCCTTGGACTATCATTTGCTTTTCATCTGTTCTTAACCTCAAGACCACATTGTTCAGCTGCAAGACTCATACCTATTTTTGTCCTCTAATTTATTTGCTGCTCTGGGGCTTCTTTGAGAGACTTTTTGTGATGCTTACGTTTACCTGATGTCTTCAAAGAGGCAACCTACCATTTTATGAAGAGCTGTTTAAGTCCATCTCAAGGACTGGTGTTGAAAGGAGCATTCTTTCTGACAAATCTAGCTTACTCAGGGTCCCAACTATTTCTCATCAGGCTGTTTGTCAGCAGTCAGAGGGTGTCATCTTTTAAGGCTTGTAAATAATCATCTTTGATGTACTAAGAATTCCTTTGCTGCTGCTGTTTCTGTCCTTTATGGATGTGCTTATCCAGCCAGCTGTATTTACTAGATAAGCATTTTCCAAACTTGTGTGAGCATTTTCTTTCTGAGAATGTGTGAAACATCCTATAGAAATGGTACTTGGTACTGAAGAACCAATGTCCAAGTGTCTGTTGACTGTATCTTCCTTCTTCTTAGGGAGCATGTGGTGGGAGCACTGGTACAGATCTATGCAGTATATTTAGTTGGAGTTATATATGCTTTCTACACAGTATGATTTTGAGTGTTTGAGAATTTGTGTTGTTGATAAGAAAAGTATGATAATTGGCATATGGGTAAGAACTTCTGGACTGCTTTGAATCTGACAGTTATGTTTTTAGGGTCCCTGCAGACTTAGACTGACAGCACTGCAGTGGTTAGTGGTTACGATTAGTGTTTTGAAGGCTCTGAAACTGACATTTTAGTACGACCAAAATGTGATTTGGCTTACCTTTGTGGTATGTTCTTGGATGCAAAGTTAGGTATGTGTTAAAAGCTCCTCTAAGGGACAGTGAACTTGTACTTGTATTCAACTGAAGATGTGTTGTACTGCCTGATGGTTTTTGCCTTCTTCAAGCAGAAGATACCAGAAGGTAGTCAAAAGCAGAGGAAAAAAACCCAAACCCACACTGCTTTCACAAAACCTGTTTCGTGTCTCTTTTGTGGTTGGTGGCTTTGAAATTAATTGCGAACACCTCAAATTGTGTGTTTTTGACATACAGCTTTTTTCACTTGCGTGTTCTTGGATTTGAAAAAAAAAATGTTCCAGGCACATGTTTAGATGACTGTATAATGGTGTCTAGTATTTCTCAGCTATGGCAATTGGAACGAGGGCATCAGTGCAGTGTTCCACACATGCCTTCAGGGAAAGCTGTGAAATACAAGAGGCAGTTTCATGGAGTGGGAAGAGAAGAAATTCCCATCTCAGTTCTAATGGAGCAACAGGTACCCCCTTCAGACAGTTATGAAGATGCTACTTTTGCCTCTTGTTTTTCATGTCCTGTTAAACAAACCTTTTGACACTAAGTAATGAACAGGACTTGTTTTCACACTGTGTATCCCAAACATATGCAATCACATTTGCAGTCTCTCATTGGGCACTTCTGAACTTAAATTTTCTGCAGGAGCCATGCTTTGTTCTTTGCATATTCTCTTGCTTCAGTGTTCACCAGAATGGCCCTGTGGAAACAGAGCAGTCCTTAGAGGGTTGTTCCTGTTATATTTTGCCTATATTTTTGACTGATTCTTTTGTCTCCTAGGCAGTACACTGTAGTAAATACATATTCTTGCAGATGCAGTAGGGAACTTTGAGGTCTATTTGGCTAAGAACAAGTGATGCAATTTTTTGGAGCATCGTTTTTGTGCAGTGTCATTCATTGTTGAGGGAAGAGGCTCCTGAGTCTCCTCTGTTAATACTTCATGAAGTGCAGGGTAGGCTCCTTGTGGCTTGGAAATGGAAAGCTTGTTCTTTAGGTTGCAGAATCTGAAAGAACTTTGAGCAGGTTTAGGTGATGCTGAGAGGGTGCTGGAAGCAATACTCCCATTTAGTTTTTTTTCTCCCTTTCAAGAAATAAGATGAGGAATCTAATAGCTAGACAAGCTTTTCAGAATGA